AACAGTAAACACAGTCCACGTCGTCAGCCTGGGGTTTCAGCCACATTCATTTCTGGGCCTGTCAAATGTTCTCTCGCTATTTATACTGCTGTGGGTCAGCTACTTGATACTTAATAAAACTTGCCTCCAAGCTGTCCTGTACAGAAACTGAGCTGAGGGCATCTATCTGGGGGCAATGCTGTTCCAACTTTATAACCTCTGACGATTGCCCAGTGTCCTCTGAAAAGGTTGCAGGGCTGGAGGGAGAGGGAGGTCCACGCCACTTCCTGGTATCCAGTGGCACCAAGTGCTTTAGTGTAAATATAATTATATCCCCCACTTTCGGGAGCCTTTCCCAGCCAGCCTCTCGCACACGGAATCAGCTGTAGATGGGGTGAGCGCTGTGGAAACCCAGCCTCTGTTCAAGGTCAGGACACGCAGGGCTCGCCAGGGATGATTTTACAGCCCTTTCCATCATTTCAGAAAGCACAGAAGAGAATGTAACTGCGGCAAGAGTGGATCTATCGGATGGAAATAATGAGCCATTTATAACCCAAAATGAGACTGCCAGGAAAAACAAGAGCACAAAAAAAGTACATTTTATCAGACGCCTTTGCTGCCCACGGCCAGCAGGGTACAAGGTACTGAGTGTTCGGCCTCCCAGGCCAAGAGCTACAGTAGGTCCTGCCTGTCTCTGCTGTCACCCGACCAAGCAGCCTTAACCACCTGGTGGCAAAGAGCTTTCGTGTCCTCTGAGTATGTGCTGGGTGGACAGTTCGCGTTTTTTATAAAGACGTGGAGTCGTGCCGCAACACTGAACAAGTGCTCCTGCCTAAGGGTTGTGCAACTCCGACAGGTCCCAGGCTTAGGGCGTCACGGGTGGCTCGCACGCTGATCTGCGGCTTGCACAACCTGCAAGCGGCCCCCCAGGTCTCCCCTTCCAGCCTTGGAAACAATATCCAGGCTCTGAAGTTGGCCCTGGTGGCCTGCAGTTCTCTGCCCCAAAGGTGTGTGGAATGGCTCGGCTGTCAGCACCTGCTGGTGAGATAAAGAAAAGTGCCGTAGACTGATCCTCCCCTGGCACCAGTGCAAAGGAGGCGGGTGACGGGCCCCAGATGGCCCTGTAGCCCCCACCCCAGCACCCTGCTTGGAGGGAGAGTGAGGACTGTGAAGCTGAAGAAGTGCAGGCCAGACCGTGGGAAGGGGGCTGCTCTGATGGTGACAGATGGGAAGTGCGTTTCCCCAAAGCAGGCGGTCCTAGCCACGCAGGCGCTGCTGCAGTGGCTGTGCACAGCTCTTTGTCCGGGCACTGGGTGCTTGGCCCGTGCTCTCCTCCTGTGACTTACCTGGAACAAAGTGAACAAGTAGGTCAAGTGCTTCTTCGGCGCCCTCTCACCTCCAATCACTGTACCGGTGCCGGCTCCTGCCTGGCTCTGCTTCCGAGCAGGGTCCATTTGCTCCACAACGCTTGGAGCACCTGCTCCGTGCCAGGTACTGTGCCAAGCAGCGGGCACCAGGCAGGGCTTTCTCAATGCCTCGTGACGCCCTGCAGTGTTCTGCCCGGGCCTCCGCTCCTGCCAGTCTCAGCCCCACCGTGTCCCCAAACTACCCTTCCCTCCACTCACCTCCTGTGACACTTCCCCTCAACCTTGGGAGCAGACTATTTCCTCACAGCTCGAGTCACAATAAACTAACACATTATTCTCACAAAAGCCTTGGTTCTGGCAGGCATGGGTTCATTTCTGGAGTTTCTGCATATTACAAGGTGACGGGGTGAAGAAACCATGTCTTCCATGGGATGAAAAAGTGATTAATTGGGGAAATTGAGGCACAGGGGGGCGGGGGGAGGTAATACATTGTCTGAGCAGGATCTTTCCAGTTTCACCAGATAAGCAGGTTACCTCTTTCACCTATTCACTTGTCAGTGAGCTGTTCGTGAGATGGTTCAGGGGATAAACTCCAGAGCTGGGCTACCACGGTTCAAATCCCAGCTCTGCAAGTTACAGTTGAAGACGGGTACTTGATCTTTGTTCCTTCGCTTTCTCAGATGAAAGGGAGAATTTCAGAAATGTCTACATGCATTCACAGGGTGGTTTAGGGATTAACATACATTAATATGTATGGATTCTTTATAATACTGGCATGCATGGTAAGCACTCTATAAATATTAACTTTGATTTTTCCGTGAAGCCAACTATGCTTTCTTCTTTGCAGGCAGAGTCTCGTGGGACTTGCTGCCTTCAAAAGGGCTGATTTGTTATTCGGGCAGCAGTTTCCTCATCTGCACCACAGGAAGTAGTACATGAATGAGGACGTGGGGGCAGATGATGGGTCAGGTGACAGTGTTCCAATCTATGATCCCTATGGCTTCATGACCTTGAGCAACTCTCTTAACCTCTCTGCATCCTAGCAGTGGAAGTCGGTCTGCATTTCCCAAACTCAGGGCCGTTCAAATAACACCTGCAGACCCTGCCGTAACTTCCACATTCCTGTACACAGCTTGATACTTTCCTTTGGGTAATCTTTCACTCCACTCCACTGAAAACCTCAGCATGAACAGCGATATCCATGTACTCAAGGGCTTGCTGCGCTAGGTGTAGATTTTTCTAAGGCGTGTTAAAATAGTGCTCAAATCACCTTGCATGCCATCAATGATGTGCTCATGCCGTTTCAGGAAACAGTGGTTAAATATAGATCTGGCCAGCTCTGAAATCTTCAGTTGCAGTTATATAATTTTCACGTGGACATTTAACTTAGCATGTGTTTCTTCATAATTTTTTTTGTCTTTTCGAGACAGGGTCTCATTATGCAGTTCAGGCTGGTCTTGAACTCACTTTGTAGCCCTGGTTGGCCTCGAACTCACAATGATCCTCCTGCCTCAGCCTCCCCAGTGCTGGGATTACAGGCGTGAGCCACCATGCCTGGCTTTCTTTATAATTTTTGGACTCCTTCAGGAAACACTGTGGCTTTTATTTCTTTAGGTATCTAGCACATAGAAAAGTGTTTGCTAAATCACTTCTTTTTAAATTATAAACACAGGGTGCACGCATTCATATACCTATATATCACCTACTAACCCTGTCTAGTAGCAAAATGCACATTTTTCTCCACATCAGCACGCATCCCTTTTTTTCCTGGGATGTTGTTCTCTGAATGAGGCGAAGCGTGTAGAGTGCCAGGCCTTGAGTGGGCACTCAGGAAATGTTTCCTTTCCTGACCACCTTCCTTCTTCCTGTGCCCCTTTGTTGGTGAGTAGCTGTTTGTCCGTGTGAAAAGTGAGCCCCTTCCTAAGGAGCACACAGCCCAGCCTACTGCTGGGCCAGAATAATAGCCGTCCTGAGGTTGCATTCCCAAGTCCAGAGACATCTACTCTTTGAAAGGAAAAAAACTGTATTTCTAAACGCTCTTGTTGAAAGAGGGCTTGAGAAATTGTGTGGTGACTTACCAACCGCTCATCAGCGAAAAATGGAATGTGAAAGGACATTATCACGGCAGGATTCTGGGGTCACAGCTTGAGCACTTTCCCAATCAACCAACATAGATTCGGCACCTTTGTGAGTGCCATCTGTGTCAACAGCCTTGGGAGACACAAACCTCAGTGAGATCGTCTGGCTGGGAAGAAACTAGAAGACTGTGAGGTTCTCCAAGGGAGAATGCTGGCTGATTCACCTTCGCATCCCCTGGGCCTTAGCAGAGCTGTCACATGTGTAGTAAGCAGACATTAAATATTTGTCCCATGAGTGAATGAATAACACCAGCCCAGCCCTTAAGGATCTTACAGTCTGAAAAGGGAGAAGGCATAGAGGCAAACGAAGGGGTAATTAACAATGAGCTTTCTGGGTGTGGTGGCTCGCACCTGTCAATCCCAGGAATCATTCAGGAGGCTGAGGCAGGAGGATCACTGCAAGTTGAAGCTAGCCTAGGCTACATAGTCAGTTTTGGCTAGCCTGAACTACACAGCGAGACCCTGTCTCAAAAAACAAACAAACAAAAAAAAAACAATAAAACAGAAACAAAAAAAAAAACCAATGATCTTAATAGATAGCACAAGCTACTGGGAAGGTTAACATGTTCCAGCTCAGCTTGAACCACCATTGGTATTTCTTTTTTTTTTTAATCAGAGGAGAGAGTGAACGCAGTCCCCCACTACCACAAATTATGGAGTCAAGTTTCCCACATTTGGGGAAATCACAGGGGTCTGTCAGCACATCTGGAGTGCAATGGATAAGCCTCACCCTGGAAAAACTACCTTTGTGATCATGGTCTCTCCCCTGCCAGGGAAGTATCCAGCTATGGTATCGTACAAGCCTGGCTTGTACCACCTGATGGGGCTGACACCCTGGTTCAGAGCCAACCAGCAGGGAGACGTACAAATTGTAGGCCTATCGTGAACGTGTTAAATGGGAGCAGCATCCAGCGGCAGATCCCACAGAAGAATGTGTGCTGGACGCTCTTCTGAGCTCTTTTCCATCCAGGAGCCAGACTTCAGAGAACAGCAGCCAGGTCCCCGTCATGTGACTGCTTTCTTCAGGCCCGGGACTCTACAGGTTCCGGGGAGTGGGCAGGGAATTATTTAATGTAAACAAAGCAGTGGGTGTTTATCTTTCCAACCGTTCTTCTCCTCCACAGGCAAAGGGAGGCAGCTATGATGAGCGCTGTGCCCCTGGAATCCAGGAGGGGGGCTGGGAGCCTGTAATTACTGATTTCATAGGCTCAAGGCAGGGGGACCCCCGGCAGGAAGGAGCCTCTGGTATGATTTACTAGAGAAAGGTGCTGGGCCTCCTGCCCGGCTCTCTAGGTCTCTAAGCTATGAGCACAAAAATAGAAGCGCAGATCGATGTTCTGTATTATTCATTCATTTCCAAAATTCTCTCCCCAAATACACCTTCAGCTGGAAGACACCTTCTTCCGTAGTTTTAAACCATTTTTAGTTCATGAGCAGACTGGATATTTTTGTTGAGCGCAAATAACATCAGCCTCCAAACCCTAATTAATTGGAAAGAATAACATTTCCACTAAAATTCGTTTTGAAAAATGATTTATGCTCCCAGCCAACACAAATCCCGAACACCGCAAAGCAGCGTAGAAAGTAAATTTCTACCGATGCACGGAGCGCAGTCTCCCGTTCTGACTCAGAGGAGGGGCCAGATCCCAGGTTCCGGGGAGTGGGCAGGGTATTATTTAATGTAAATAAATCCACTTTTGCACCTGTGTATAAATAGCAGAATGGAATCAGTTCCTTAAAATGAAATTGCTGACTCAAAGACATATGAATTTGAACTCTGTTAGGCATTGCCAAATGATGACGTTTGACTTTTCATGAAAATTGCCAAAAGCGGGGCTGGGGATTTAGCTCAGCGGCACAGTGCCTGCCCGGCAAGCGCAAGGTCATGAGTTCGATTCCCGGTACCGGGGCGGGGGCGGGGGAGAAAATTGCCAAAAGTAAAATATTTCTTCATGCCAGAAACAGAAATGCCTGAAGATAGCATTTTATTGTAAATTTTAATAGCTCAAGGAAGCAAGAACTACCCCTATTTATGAAAGTCATTGTCAGTACCTTGCCCACCTAAAAACACATACAAATACATTGTCATAAACCTGTCCAAGATGTGCTGTGACAACTTTACTTCTGGGAGAACATTCCAGGAGCTCCTCACCTCCGACTGCACACGTACTTGGTGCAATGGGGTTAGCTCACGAACGTGTTTGAGGTCCCGGTCAGTTAGCACCACCGCCCCATTTGCCTTTGGTAACTGGAGACCAGTTTGTGACCCTGTCTGCCCTCCCTCCTCCACACTCAGGCAGTCCTTTCTTCTCACCCTGGTTCCCTCACAGAAGCAACCAGCCTGAAAGTGTCAGGTCACACTGATTAGTCAGTGAGGAGGGCCGGGCGTAACAGGACTTTACTTTCATTTGTTATCACCTGTGGGGTGAGTTAGGGAACAAAGAGCCATGTACCATTCAGCTGCCACTTTCCTGACTGGCTCCTATTTTAGCAAAGTGGAGATCCAGAACATTCTGCAGCCTCCAGTGTTTACCCGGCACACTCTGCTGCATTCCCTAGTCGGGCCTTCTTTCCTCTCCGCTCCTGTAACATGAGAAACACTGTGAAAGGTTGGTGTTTGTTTTGTAATCAGCTGTGACCATTTTCTTCTCTCTGCCTCCAACTGCAAACACATTACCTTCCTAGTAACCATTAAAAATCTGTGTCTGGTTCCGTGGGTGATGACAATTAAATAGCTATCCTGCTTATGTTTAGAATGCGTTGTAGACGCACGAAGATGGCTTAAGTCCTGCTTAAAATAGTTTTTGGTCCCATGAATCCAGGAAGCAATTTCTATAATGTGCATAATCTAGAAACTTCATTTTTCATTTATCTCAAAATCATTCTCAAAGAACCAGAGACAGAAAAAAAAAAAAAGATTTAGACTGATGAGGAAGCTTGTTTCTTTTTTGTTTGTTTGTTTGTCTTTTTGAGACAGGGTCTTATTATGCAGTTCAGGCTGGCCTTGAGCTCACTTTGTAGACCAGGCTAGTCTCAAACTCACAGCAGTCCTCCTGCCTTAGCCTCCTGAGTGCTGGAATTACAGGCGTGCACCACCGTGCCTGTCCTGGAAGCTTGTTTCAACATCCCCTGTTGTAAGTCATTTAAGTTCCTTACTTTAGACAGTCCTACTCTCTCAAGGAGCAATGGAAAAAAACAGATCTTCTATTTAAAAACAAAAGCGACAATCAAGAAGCACAGTGCGCTATGCTAACACTGTCCTGGGAACCCCCAAACTCACATGGGTCAGTCCCCTGTGTGGGGGGAGTTAGGAAGTCGGTCCTACTACTTTTGGTCCTGCCATAAGAGGTCACCAGAAAGCTGGACCGCAGACCTAGGGGTAGGAGTAAGGATGGACAGCCATGGGAGTCACCATGCTCTTCCAGACCAGGCAAGAAAACCTTGGAAGAAAAGCTCCTGACCAAATCGAGCAGTAGAGATAGTGCAGCAGTAAAAATAGTCCCTCACTCTAGGTGCTACCACCATGGGCTTCTGTACTGAGTTCCACATCTCTTGATTCAGCAAGCACGTACTGGGCATGTTTTATGTGCCACGTTTTCAGCTCCGGATCGCACAAAGTCTAAAAAGTCATTGACCCTGCCCCGTGGTGGGCACACATCAAATATTATTGAATCAGTGAACCAGTGAAAGCATTCATAAATGAATAAAGCTTAACGCTTAGGGGAGAAAATACAGGTTGCACTTTCTATTACCTATGGGTGTGATGTGTACCTAATACATGGTGTGAGTGACTCCCCGGGGTAGCGGGGAAAGCCCATAGACTTGCCGTAAAATTGAAAGGACAATCATCAGATCAGTGAGAGAGGAGGAGGTGTTTACTGCGGGTAAGCGAAAGACGCAGCAAGCATCGAGGCCTGAAGCAGAGATCGGCAGACACAGTGCCACGGACCAAACCCAGCCCGCCAACCGCTTTTGCAAATAAAGTTTTCCTTCAACACAGCCGTGCTTATTTATTTGCATTTCGTCTATGGTGCTACAACGGCATGCAGAGTAGTGGCACCAGACATGACCCAGAATGCCAAGGCTACTTACCACCTGGCCCTCTACTGAACATGCCTGCTGCCCTGCTGCCTAGGATACAAAAGAGCTGGAGAGTCACTGGTCTGCAGAGAAGGCTGAGGAACGTAGGCCTCGGTGAGAGAGGAGACAGGAAGGTGAGCAAAAGCCAAACTCCCAAGACTTCTAGGCTATACAAAGATATGCAGTCTAAGGGGCTGGGGATTTAGCTCAGCGGCAAAGCGCCTGCCTGGCAAGCTCAAGGTCGTGAGTTCGGTTCCCGGTACCGGAGAAAAACAAACAAACAAAAAAAAAAGATATGCAGTCTTGTGCCTTTAGGAGATGGATAACAGGGGCAGATCTGCATTTATCTTGACATCAGGATAAATGGGAGAAATGGAAAACCAAAACAGGAGACCAGCTCTCCAAACCTTCCTGATCCCAAACTCCTAGATTCAATAAACATCAAAGAGCTTTGTCGTTATGTACCTTGCTCTGTGCTTAGGAACCAGAAGCTGCTACGCAAAGACAATGAATAATATTTGCTGAATAAGGCATTAAAGAAAGAATAAAGACAATATTTCAGCAGCACCACTGTTCAAAGTTTTCCTGAACAGACTGTGCAGCTATGAGACACATGGCTGAGATTTCCGTGGATTTCTGGTTTCCATCTAGTAGACTCTGAGATCCACACATGGGTGGTTAATGGTGAAATACAAGCCAGAGAGAATTCCTCTCCTTCCTCTCCAGTACCAACCAGTACCCCTAAATACCAGTGTCTGGCCAATCCTGCGTTTCTCCCAGGCCCTGTGGCCTAATGGGAGAGAATAGGACAAGAAGGAGCCCTGCTAATAATTGTCATAAAAATAATATCACCTGGCCCTGTGTGGCATCGTTTGCTGGAAGATCTTGAATCATTTTTTCTCTGCATAAATTTTATTTCCACTCCAGCAGAAGCTAAACCAGGTAGAGAGGTTGTGACTTGCCCCAGGTCACTGACCCAGCCAGAAAAGCAGTTTTGAAAAGCTGAGGATACCAGAATGCATGAAATCCAGTTTCCCTGCTAGCCTACAATGGGCTGGGTTCATGACTCAGAAAATAGCACGGCATTATTCCGGCTCAGTGTCTCTTAAAAGTGAGTCACACCAGCAGAGACTCCGGGCACACAATCCTGTGTCAGACTCGTGTTTTCAGTTGTCATACATCGTCCCTGCCCATTGGATTTCAACACCTGTCCCCAAAGCCCATCACAGACAGGGTTTTTAGACGTTCAGCCTATAGGAGTAGAAGGTCTGGCTTGGAGGTGTCAGTCCTTCCTGGCCACTTGTCCAGCTGTTAGTACTTTACAAGGTCTAGAACTTCTAGGCCCTATATTCATCAGGAACTTATGGCTAAGGAGGCTATAGTTTGCAGTAGGTCTGGGCCAACCCTGGTATTCACCCTTTTTCCCCAACATAATTATGAATAAATCCTTCCTGTACTCAAACAAAAAACGGTCCAGTTTGGCCCATCAGTTAACTGTGGGGTCATTATAGTTCTGACAAATCAAGGGGAATCATCACTGAATCCAAAAGGTGTCCTTTCCTCATGATTGTTCTAGCTCAGCCACTGCTGTGTCATAGACCTAGGAATTGGTGCTAGCAAGGACCCCAATTCCTGGCCAGTACAAAGCTCCTCAGAGAGGCGATCCAACCTCTGTACAAGTGTTCCTGTCACAGACAGAGTTTGTACATCCCTGTGTGATACCTGATCACTAACTGTTAGAAAATACATTTCTCTTCTTGCACCAAAACCTGCTCTCCATTTCTTCTATATATCGATTTTAGTGCTAGTCTCAAGAAAGTGAAAGCAATCCCCCATCCTGTTCCTAAGAGAACTCCAAGTCCTCTGTTCCCCAGCCCAAACACCACCAGGCGTCCTGATCAGTCTTTAAGAATGTGGCTTTGGAATCAGACATATCTGGATTCTGGTCTGGACCCAATCATTCCCTAGCTAGATGAGCTTTGGTAAACACTTGTCTAATTTTCATTTCCTTGTCTATAATTTTTGAACAAATACTAACTACTTAAGGTAGGCATTGCTAGTTATGTAGTCAATAGGCAATCATTTCTTGCTAACGAAGGAGTCTTTTCAACACTCTTGGATTTCCCAACTCCGTCACAGCTAGATGCGATCATGAAACACATTTCTAGACAATGAGTTGTGAGTTTCTGAGATAGCTTCTTAGAAGGTGTATATTCAGCTTACGTTTGACTTTATAATTTTTGTCATGTAACCCTGCCCTACTTCCTCCTTTATGCCTAAAAATCCATTGTGAAGCATGACATACAACAGCTTACTGAAAATATGAATAAGGAAGCCATCAGCAAAGAAACCTAGGTTCCTGGGGATGTGGAGGAGGGAGGGGAAGACACTTGCCCTGGAGTGCCTACAGCTGGACTTATTATATGAAAAATAAATAAATCCGTCATGTGGTTAAAACATTGTATTTGATTTTTTGCTGTCTGTACTAAAACCAGTCCTAAGATGAAATGTAGGAGAGGACTGCTGTGAACACAAAACGAGCTCACTATGGCGCCCAGCATAGAGCAAGTACACAGGGAATGGTCTGTTATCACTATTGTGATGATGAGAATGAAGATAAGGAGTCACTGCCATGGGCCTCAGAGACCAGGGCAAGAGCTACCCTAATCCTTCTGATCTCTAATGGCACTAACACAAAAATACCTGCGATCTCTCAAGTGCACACACACACACACACACACACACCAGTCACTTTCAGATGTTTGAACAATTACGTCTTTATTAGTGGCTAAGGAAGCCAGTTGATTAAAGTGCAAGATCCCAGAAGCACAGAGAAATGAAATTCCTCCTGGCCAGCAAGTCAGGCAGCAAGCTCTTCCCTGCTGTGAAGGCATCTGGTTTCCTTTCCCGGCAGGGAATCCATCCACACTGGATAGCGGATTTCCTGGAAGTAGCGTCTTGTCCAAATAACAAGCAAAGTACAATACTTTAAGGATGTCATTATTTCGTGAAAACAGAGTTTCTGTTGAGAAGCCAGAGCCACACCTAAAGTCAGCTGACCACAGGGCACATGTTTAAAGGCAGTGCTGGGAAGTGTAATTAGCTTTCTACAACCTAACTGAGCCAAGGGCCAGGATCAGGCGGGAATGGCTTTGCATTCTTACCTAGCGCCCACCAGGCCCCCATGGCACCCATCCCACCTCCACCTCTCTTCTCACCAAGTCTCAGATTCAAATAACGGTGCAGTGAAAAACCGATCAATCAACCCGGGACCTGTAGAATTAAATACCTGGGAATCAAATCTCAGGGAGTCATTTCAAGCTTCATAATGCTGGGCCAACTATTTTCACTCTCGGAGCAGCAGTTTTTGCATCTGTAGAGTGGAGATGAGAATGTACATCTCCCAAATTTGTTGGGGACCAAAGGAGACAGTGTGTGTGTGTGTGAGTGTGTGAGTGTGTGTGTGAGTGTGTGTGTGTGTGTGTGAGTGTGACAGTACTTGGCATGGAATTGGTTTCCCTTCCTTCCCTATCAGCAGGGTGGCCCTGGCAGACTTATTACAGCCACACCCAGGCCTAGGGAGCAAATCTAGCTCAGGTCACTGACACCAACTGTAGCTCGCCACCTTCTGCCCTGTGCGTCACTATCTAAGTTTTTGGCCCATACTTGGGAAGCCAAAGCCGAAGCTGAGGTCATCAGGCAGAAAGAGGCAAAGCTCTTCTTTCCTAGAGCAGGTTTGGTCGGCAGTAGACCAAAGCAACTCCCTATGGCCAGCTCGCAGTTGGGTATGGGAGTCCCCAGCAAACCCAGTAGGAGAGGACCTTACACCTACCACAGCCAGACGTTACACCTAGACAATGAGCTGGGGAGCTGGAAGCTGCTCCACGAAGGCTCTCTGTGTTCCGAGTGTCCCCAGCCTCATGGAGGATGAAATACGACAATCACAAGATTCACACCTCAGGCCATGAAACGTAATCTTCCTCTTGCCCCATCACCTGGCAGGTGTCCTTGGCAGTTGCTTCCACAGCTACAGTGCTGCGTGTCGCACATTCCTCACTCTGTGTCATGGGAACGGCCATTAGCATTGTCCTGCATTTTTAACCTCTCGTGTATCCAGGTGCATTTATTCAACAGGCTTTGTGGCTACTGACACTGGCCAGATATGTGAACATAGGTTTCTCTGTAGCTCCACGAGCAAGCAACATAAAACCACGCAGACAGGGATATAGCTCAGGTGCCTGCCTGGCAAGCGCAGGTCCTGAGTTCAATTCCCAACACCAAAAATGAATAAATAAATAAACCCATGCAGAAATCAGAAATTCAGAGTCCATGTACCATGGCTTGCCACAAAAATGTGCTTTGTTACTGAGGATAAAGACAGATAAATTAGTAATAGTAAATAGTAACTCTTAACCACGGCAGACTCTGTGCTGAGCACTTTCTGCTAGTGTTGTTATTCCCATTTTACCAAAAAAAAAGAAAGAAAGAAAAGAAGAGAAGACAACGCCTGATGGCAAATGCTAACTATTAATCCTTTGCAGGATCTGGATGTAAATCTTTTCTCACCCTGTCAGCTTTTTGTTAACACAGCTCGTGTCTGTACTTGATTGGAAATTCTTAATTTCTAAAATGTAGTCTAATCTTTAAATTTTCAATTTACGGTTTGAGTGTCTGGGATCTTCTTCAACACTTCCAGTATCTTCTGTAGTTCTATAATTTTGCTTCTGCACTGAATTTCCCTTTTGTATGTCCTTGAAATAGTGAACCAACCTATGTTCCTTCATCTACAATCACCTTCTGCAAAGGCAGATTCCAGACCTGCAGGTTCAACCAATCATAAATCAAAAATATTTGGAGACAAATTGTGACTATACTACACACATACAAACTTATTTTTCTTGTTATTGTTCCCCAAAGAAATATGCCAACAATGTACATATTTGCTTTGTGCTAGGTATTATCATAATCTAGAGATGGCTTAAATTATACGGGAGGTGTGCATAGATTGTATGAAAACACCACACCATTTTATACAGGGATTTGAGCATGCTGAGAGGTGACTGTTTTCCTACTTACCAATTAGTGGATTTTAGACAAGTCCTTTTGTTGTAGGCAAGTGAGTTAGATAGAAATATAATAGGCAGTCAGACAGGGTTGGGCCCTTCAAGGAACCAGTGCGGAAGACGAGATACCTTGCAACTGTGGGAGAGACAGACACCTCCAGCTGTGGGTCAGGCCTCAAGACAAAAGACAAATCAGATGCAACCACATACCTCCCTAAAGAGAAACATCAGGGACTGATATTCTAAATAGGTCTCTATCACCTTGACAAAGCCAGAAAGAGTCACTAACTCAACTCCCTATAGGAAAACCCCTGTTCTGTATTCATGTTCACTACCTGTCTCACTTCCCCACTTGATCCCAGTTTAATCAATTTTACCTGAGCAATTGTTTATAATCTTATTGGCTGACCATAGTTTTGTCCCACCTCACACCCACCGTGGGAGTCCCCATGTTTCTCACCTTAGACCCACCTCACCTCTTGGATTTGCTCTATAGAAATCCCTACAAAAAAGACAGGTTCCTTGGCAACACATTTGGGTCCACTTCTGTCCCTCTCTAGGACAGAAGCTTTCTTTCCCCCAATAAATATACTCTTCTCTTAACCTCCATCATTCCTAAAATTCATTCTTTGATTTTAGAGAACATGAACTCGTCCCAGATATCTAGCAGGTTGGGAGATTCTCTCCTCTCTATCACGTTCTCTACTGAGTTATCGTGCCGTGTTTACCTCAACGCAGGTTTCCCTATAGACTTGGATTTATTTCTGACTCTAGGTTCTTTTGCAGGTCCATTTGACAGAACACCTGTTCAAAACTAGTTTATCTTGGAAGGTGAGTTCCTCCCCTTTGTTTTCTCTTTTCAAAAGGACTTAAGCACCATAAATTGGGCATGTCCAACCTGTGGGCCACACCTGTAAAAGTATTTTTTAAAAGAAAGTTTGGTTATTTACATACATTAACTACATATAATACACTATATCTTTTTCATAGAGCCCAAGACAGTTCCTCTTCCCTCAGTGTGGCCCAGGAAAAGCAGTTAGACAGTGCTCATATAAATTAGAATGAGTATATTGAGGTCCTCAAAAAAGAAAAGAGAAGAGAAGAACCTCTCCATAATTCTTTTCTGAAATTATATTGAATATGTAGGTAAATTTTGAGAAAAATTTCAATACTTACATATTAAAGATATGGTTTCTCTTTCCATTTTTAAGACCTTTTCAAATGGACAATTGAGTTTTTTTATTTTTCTCGAAAGGTCTTTGTTAGGTTATTGCTTGCATACTTTATAATTTTCAAAATAGAGATGATTTTGATAAAATGGATAGACTAGTAATTTTTTAAAACTGATCAAGTATTCATCATCTTTGTTGACATCTCTTATTTTTAGTTTATCAGTTCACTAAATCTGCCCGCTAACTTTTTTCTTTCCTTTTGTGTTTTCCTTGTCTTCCTATCTTGGCCAGAAACCAATATATAAAAAGTTAATGTTTAACTATTGTCCAACAGTTACAGTATCTGAACCTTGTTTTTAAATCACATTGTGTGACCCTTGATAATTTTCACAGAGCTTCCGCACTCATCTTGCCATATACATTTTACAAACACCCCACAAGGAAAGAGAACTGCTATTGGACCATTTTACAAATTAGACTTGCTGTGGTTGGGTTTGGGAGGATTACATAACTAGAAAATGAAATTTATATTGCAGTATGTCTTTTACATTTCAAATTTTCTCACTATTGCAAACCAATTTATATTCTGGTAGAGGTCTATAAAACTACATGATTCAATCCAATAATACACAGAATGAATTTTAATGTAAGCCTCATACCACCCTGGAAAAGATGACTTGATATAACTTTCCTTTTTATTGTTACTGTTTGTATTCTTTGTTTTGAGGCAAGGTTTTGTTATATTACCCTGGCTGGACTCAAACTCCTATGCACAGGCAATCTTGTCTCAGATTCCCAAAAAGCTGGCACTGCACTACTGTATGTCACCATGCCCAGCCAGTTCTGTTATTCTTAAAGAAAACTATACCAGCTAATATTAAAAGTTCAGATTAGAACTTTAGAATCCATATTAATTGGGACTGTAATGCTATTAAGAACTTGAGCTCATATTAGTTGGGGTTGTGATTCTATGAAGAATTTGAAGCCAGGCATGGTGGTGCATGCCTGTAATCCCAGCATTTTGGAGGCTGAGGCAGGAAGATCACCATGAGTTCAAGGCCAGCCTGGGATACATTAAAAAATAATAATAATTTGAGTTTGCTGGATATGGCGGTAATCCTAGCACTTGGAGGCTGAGGTAGGAGGACTGCTGAGAATTCAGGGCCAGCCTGAACTGCATAGGAAGACCCTGTTCAAAATAGAAAAGAACTTGACCAAATCCAGTGACAAAATTTGGATCAGTTAATTTGGTCAGTTTAAGTAAACAGGCCATCCTATGAGAGGGAAGGCACCTGGATGAGAGGTACTCATAAAAATTGATTTTATTAGCATTGCAAGTGCAGCTACAACTTCTATTTGGTTGGACTTATTTAAATATTCAAAAGCTTTACTCAGAATAATAGTATTAGTCCACTGTTTTCAGAAGGAAAAACTAATGAAAACAATGCATTAGTTACACAAAAATAGCCTATTGGGAGAAGACAGACCTGTGAACAGAACTCATGAATTGAGCCCAAGGTTGGTCTACCAGTTCTCTCTAATCAAGCTTCATGATTCATCTGTGGAAATCAACGCCTTTAAATTTCACTGAATGACATGTCCATAGCCACACAAGCCTCACTCAAGAAGGACTCTCAGCAGAGACCCAGATGATTCCCATCACCTCTAAAAAGACTTCCCATCAGGAAGCAATTCTACTTGTCTTTTCACTTAGGGAAAGCGTTGGGGACTGTCCTCTCTGAATGCCGCTGCTACTTGGGACATACATATTACACTGTTTTTCACAGGTACCAGGTTAAAAGAGAAGGAAAGCACAGCTAACAGTGTAAATGTGCTCAAATAACAGAATCAAAATCCGTCAGCCAGAGGAAACCAGGAAGAGGTAGCCTGTCTTAAATGCATCTTGGCAAGTTGAGAAATAAAATACAATAGTATAGCGAAGAGGCTTACATAACTGGGGAAAAAAGAATAAGGGAAAAGAATTGTTCCAAATCCATCACATTTATTAGAACTACTGATTTCCTCTAAAATGGCACATGTTTTAGAATGAGATTTACCGTGAGCCAGCTAACAATATTTTTCATGGGAAATAAGAGATGCTAGGAAGAATATAACTTGCATTTTAAATCCCCAAGATTATAAAACAGAACTTTTAATAAATGAAAAGGAAAAAATGACTCCAGAACTGAAGCCTCAGGGAGACAGTGATTTCTATTTAATCTCTTATTAGCAAAAGGGGAAAAAAATCACGTTAAGTGACACTAGCACAGGTTTCTGTGGAAGAGTATAACATTACAGCTAATAATACGATGACTGGGTATGTGCGTCTTCTTTGAGGGGAGGCATGCTTGCTAAATTCATGAACTTGTACAAGTTTATATTTGGCCAACTGCTGCCCTCACACCTGTTCATTTAGGCATTAGACCTAAGCACTTGTAAAGCAAATGACTATATCTGTACAGCAATGAGTAAAAATAAACTGGACTATTTTAGTAACCCTACCAAAATGATCTGACCAAATAGAAGATCTTATTTCATGGGATAAAGTAGTCAAATTAGATGTTTCCTCACATTTTATGACGCATGTGTCTTATTCACTATGTATAAAATAGCCAACCTCCGTTCCAGGAGAATGAGTCCCAACCAAATTTAATGTTATTTGCTTAGGGCTCAAATATCAATTCCATCACCTCTGAAGCACAGCTTCTGAATATTTTATGATCACACGGAGACCAATGCATGCTGCACGATCGAGGAGGAACATTTCATTCAATAGGTGCTGCGTACGCTTCGTGAGATCATGGTGG